ACCGGGCACGGGACCGGTCCAGTCCTGCCGCGTGTCCCCAGGAAGGGAACTGCAGCACTGAGGGGACCGGTACCGGCCCATCCCTCCTCGGAGCCGCATCCACGTTCCAGAACGTGGCATTTCCCGGATTGCCGGCCATCCCCGCGCCTGCCGGCGCTCCCTCCTGAAGGCAGGAACCCGCGGGGCCGGGGGCTCCGCGCCCTCCTCCTCGGGGCCGCCCGCGCCCCAGGGCCCACGTGGTGGGAGGGCGACCCGCGCGGGGGCGGCAGCAGGTCCCGGGGGACCCGGGTGCCCCTCGACGCGCGCCGCCCCCTCTCCCCCGCAGGCGCTGGGGGGCGGCTACCTGCACTGGGGCCACTTCGAGATGATGCGGCTCACCGTGGGCCGCTGCATGGACCCCAAGACCATGTTCGCCGTGTGGCGCGTGCCGGCGCCCTCCAAGCCCGTGACGCGCAAGAGCCTGGGCCACCGCATGGGCGGCGGCAAGGGCCCCGTGGACCACTACGTGACGCCCGTGAAGAGCGGGCGCCTCGTGCTCGAGGTGGGCGGGCGCTGCGAGTTCGGCGAGGTGCGGCCCTTCCTGGCGCGCGTCGCCCGCAAGCTGCCCTTCCCCGCGGCCGCCGTGAGCCGCGACGGGCTGCAGCGCCTGCGGCAGCGCCACGAGGAGCGGCGCCTCCACAACCAGAACCCCTGGACCTTCGAGCGCGTCGTCGCCGCCAACATGCTGGGCATGCGCAAGTACCTCAGCCCCTACGACCTCACCTTCCACGGGCGCTACTGGGGCAAGTTCTTCCTCAAGCACCGGGTGTAGCGCGCGCGGCGCGGCTGCTGGAATAAACCAGCCCCCCGCCGCCGCCCTGCGGCTTCTCACGCCTCTTCCTTGGAGACGCCGCGCTCTGCACGTGGGCACCGCCGCTCGAGACGCGGCCCCGAGCAGCGGCGGTAGCTGGTGTCTTTATTGAGGAGAAGGGCTGCGGGGCGGGGGGCCGCGCGCCGCCCCCGAGAGGCTCCTCTCCTCCTCCTGCGGCGGCGGAGCGGGGGTCCCGCGGCTCCGCCGGCCCCCCCGGCCGCTTCCCTCTGCCGGCTCCTCCCGGGGAGGCGCGGGCGGGATCGTCCAGGCGGGATGGGGAGAGGCCGGCGCGGGAGCACGAGGCGCTGGGGGGGACACGGGTGTCACCTCCACCGCCCAGCACGGAGCCCAGGCTCCCGGTGAGTCCGAGCGGGACAAATCCCGCCGCTCCGAGCCCCAGGAGGGCCCCAAGCCCACGGGGGCCTCGGGGCGCCCCGCTCACCTGGAGGGCAGAGGGGGTCTCAGGCGAAGATGCTGCCAATGCTGGCGGCCAGGATGATGGCGAGGATGATGCAGCAGATCATGATCATGATCTTCTTCTACTCGGCAAGAGGGGCGGGGGGCGCCGTGAGGCGGCGCTGCGCGGGCGGGCAGGGGTCTCGCGCAGGGGGCTGCGCCCATGGGGCTGGGGCTGGCCGGGTGCACCGGGGAGGGGGCAGCAAAGGGGCACGCGGGGGTTGCGGGGGGCAGCAGGGACAGGGGGACGCGAGGGGGCTCGGGGCGGTGCGGGGGGACAGCGGGGGCGCCGCGGGGCCCCTCTCACCCTCCGGGCCTCGCTTTGGTACTTGACAGCCTTTTTGGTGTCGGCCACGGCCCGCTCCACGAAGCCCACCGACTGGTCCATGTTGTTCTCGATGCGGTCGATCATGGCTCCCTAGGGAGCACGGGGGCCGCGTGGAGGCCGCGGCGGGAGAGGGGGCTGAGCACCCCGTGCCCCCCGCGGGGCGCCCGCCCGGGCCCCGTGCGGCGGGAGGGGACACTGAGGGGGCCCCGGCCGGGCCCCGCGGCGGCGCGGCCTCCCCAAAGCGCTGTGCCCGCGCCCCGTGCTGCCGCCGGTCCCGTGCAGCCCCGTGCACGGCCCCCCATGCACAGCTCCCCATGCATGCGTCCCCGTGCAGCCCCATGGACCAGTCCCCATGCACAGCTCCCCATGCACAGGTCCCCGTGCAGCCCCATGGACCGGTCCCCATGGACCGGTCCCCATGCACGGCTCCCCATGCACAGGTCCCCACGCGGAGGTTCCCGTGCAGCCCTGCGCGGGTCCCCTCGCGCACGGCTGTGCCCACCTGGTTCTCCACCAGCATGGCGATGTCCACGAACATGTCGTGCAGCTCCTTGATGCTGCTCTCGAGCCGCACGATGTCCTTGTGCCGCCCCTCGATCTCGCTCAGCGCCTGCTTCGAGATCTGCGAGTCCACGATCTGCAGCAGAGCCGGGCGGGGGGGGCGGGCGTCACTCGGGGGCCCGCGGGCGCCCGCGGGCCCCGCCGCCCGCCCCCCGGCGGCCCTCACCCCCGACGTGAAGATGGACGGGTTGCCGCTCTCCAGCATCTCCTCCAGCTCCTCGTCCGTCGTGTTCTTGCCGGCTGCGGGGGCGTGGGGGCGGAGCCTGATGCGGAGGCCCCGCCCCCTTCTGGGGGAGGCGGGGCCTGGCGCTCTTTCCCCGCCCCCTTCGGGCTGGGGCGGGGCCTGGTGCGCTTGCCCCGCCCTGGCCAGCAGGGGGCAGGGTGGGGCAGGGGGAGGGGCCTGAGCGCGTTGGCTCCGCCCCCCCGGGCCAAGGGGCGGGGTGTGAGGGAGGGGCACGCACTGATCTCGAGCTGCCGCTGGATGCGGCCCTTGCTGCGCTCCCGGAAATCCACCTGCGCCTCGTTGTACTTGGTCATGACGTCCACGAACTTCCGCGACAGGACCGAGTGCTGGGCACGGGGACGGGGCCGTGAGGGGCGCCCGCACCCGGCGCGCGGCGCGAGGCACCGCGACGCCCGGCATGGGACACCCGGGCACGGGACACCCGGGAATGGGACACCCAGGAATGGAACACCCAGCACGCGGCACGTCCGCGGGGCACGAGGCACCGGGACACCCGGCACGGGACACCCGGGAATGGGACACCCAGCGCGCGGCACGTCCGCAGGGCGTGAGGCACCGGGACACCCGGCACGGGACACCCGGCACACGGCACGTCCGTGGGGCGCGAAGCACCGGGACACCCAGCACGGGACACCCAGGCACAGCCTGTCCTAGCCCACAGTGGTCAGAACTGAGTGCTGGCATGGGGACACRAGGCACGGGGACACCAGGACACAGCCTGTGCCAGCCCGTGGCGAGCAGGGCCGCGTGCTGGCCATGGGGACGCGGGGCCACCGCGGACGGAGGGCGTCGTGGGCCGGCAGCGGGCGCGGGCTCACCTGGGACTTGCGGATGCGGAGGTCGGCCGAGGAGCGCGCCTCGTCCTGCTCGATGTTCCTCTCCATGCCTGGCGGGAGCAGAGGGGCGGCCCATGAGACCCCCGCGTCCCAGCAGCACTGCCCGCCCCGGGGACCTCGCTTGGCCCCGGCACCCCCGGCGGCGGGGACGTCGCCACTCACTCTTCAGCTTGTTGCGGACGCTGTTGGCCATTTTCTTGATCTCCGCCGTGAGCTGCTCCAAGTCGTCTTTGGTCTCTGTACGGGGGTAACGGGCGGCTGAGCCGGGGAGCCCGCGCAGSGGGGACCCCCGTCCCCGCGTCCCCGGCACGGGGCACCTTACTCTGCTCGGGGACGGGCGCCGAGAGGATGATGCTGTAGAGCTTCTTGGCCTCCTCCACGTTCTCCGAGATCTTGTCGATGTTTTGCCGGGTCTCCTCGATCTGGCCAAGCCGCGGCCGGGGCGGGACACGGGCGTCAGGCGGGAGGAGCGGGGACCCCCGGCCCTGGCGCCGCTGCCCCGCTCACCTCGGAGAAGAACTCGTCCATGAAGGCCGTGTTGTCCACGGCGATCTCCAGCTCCTCCTCATCCTCGTCGGCGCCCTGCTTCTGCGGGGGGCAGCGAGGCGGCGCTCAGCCCCTTCGGCCCCCGGGGGGCCTGCGGGTCGGGACACCCCCGTCCCGAGCACCCCGCGGTGGGGCTGGCCTCTGGCAGCGGCCGGGCGGGGGTTAAGGCCGGCGGCGGCGGCCGCGGTGCCATCTGCGCCGCGGGGAGCAGCGGGGCTAATCGCACATCTGGCCAGGCGCGCGGCCCTCCGCATGAGGCGGGAGGGGACGGGCACCCCGGCCGAGCCCCCCAGCATCGCGCCCCCTCGCCGTGCTGTGGGGCGCCCCCCAGCTCAGACACCCCACAACCCGCCCGGTACAATGGGCTGGCGCCTATCGGGGTCCCATGGGTCCCTCGGGATGCTGGAGCCAGCCGGGCTCGCGGCACCCTCCCCACCGCCCCCCTCCTCGCGCTGGAATAAAAATAACATTAATCCCTGCTCTCCCTCCCCGCGCTTTATCCCCTCTGCCTCCCTCCCGCCCCAGCGCTCCGTAATCCCCGCTAAATCCCCAGCAAGTTCCCACCGCGGCGCCAGGCGCCCTGCGTGGGAGCTGCCGAGGAAGAGCGTGGAGGAGGAAGCAACCGCCCGGGCCGGGATGCCGCGCTGACCCACATCTGCTGACAGCCCCCCACGAGCCCCACAGCTGCAGGGCACCTGCCCGCGCTCCCCCAGCCCCACGCTCCTGCCACCCGCCCCACACCCTGGCGCGTGGGGCACAGCGGGACCCCACGTGCTGCTCACGGCGTGCCCCTTCTCCAGCCCCACACGTCCCGGGCGCTGCCCTGCCCGCCGCGCCCCACGCCCGGGCGCCGCGGCCGGGCTCCCCCCGCGG